ATCTTCCTTCATCAATTGCCCCCCACTCCTCGTGCTAAGGGTCTTGCCCTGGCGCGGGGAGTTTGCGAGGTGGCGGGTGGATTTGTCCCGTACTTCGAATCGGTAGACTAATAGCGCGAGGTGCGTCGCCAGGATTCTTTTGGGTTTCTCGAGCGCCCAAAAGACGGGAAACGCGCCGATCTGCCTACAAATGCTAACAGACGTGACAACGCACGCCTTATTTCAAAATTCAAAAAGCGCGCCGTTGGGAGACGTGACAGCACGCGTCTTATTTCAAAATTCAAAAAGCGCGCCGCTGGGAGATGCGACAGCAGGCGTCTTTTCAATTTGAAAACGTGTCGCTGCCGCCTTTAATGTGAGGAGACGTGCGGTCAGTTTCAAGAGACGTGTGGCCAGTCACGTCTTGGTCTCAGGAGACGTGCGATTAGCGCGACTGCGGGCCGTCGGATTGGCTTTGATCTAAGCCGTTGATTCTTGGTTACTGTGGGTATAAATAGTGGGGGACCCCAGTTGCTTTTGTCACTTCTGCGCTTTGCTTCTTGAGCTCGCGTCCAAGCTTTTAGTTCGCATTCAAGGTCTTTTGCTCGTGTTCAAGTTCCCGTAGTCCGTTCAAGCCTTTTTCCGGGTGAGTACTTTCCTGGAATCAATCTTCTCTCCCCGATATCTAGCTCGGATAGCTCAGACGGTTCTTCATGGGGGTCAGATGCAGGTTCTACGAACCAAGTTGCATCCCCTGATGGTCCTAGCGAACCGGAGGTAGAGCTCGAGGAAGAGTTCGAACCCATAGGCCGAGTCACCTCGGGTAGTTTGGCGTCCACCTCTCATCGAGATCGGACGTTAGACAAGTTTGGTCCCTCGACCATGACGCCTAAGGGGCTCCAATCCCTTATTACCTATTACAACTTGCTTGGGGAGTATGCCTACTTCATACCTTCGGGTAGCTTTCCTTGGGAACACGGTCCTGAAGAGATCGTGATATTTCGGGAGCAGCTCGCTGCGAGGCTGCGACTACCTTTCCACCCCCTCATTGTCGAGGTCATGAACCACTTTGGCGTTACTGTCGGCCAGCTTCACCCGAACTCCATTCGTAACTTGGTGGGGACAATCTCCCTATTTTGCGAACAGGGCTTTCCTTTAGACTTGGAGACCTTCTCTTCTATCTTAATGCTTAAGAAGCAAGCGGGTCCCCTTCCCGGGCGTAGGCGGGCGTATTACCTGTCTCCCCGCCCGGGTTTTAAGCTTTTACATGAACTTCCCAATAAGGTCCCAGCGTGGAAGCGGGACTACTTTGGGGTGCAAAGTGTATTGGGGTGGCCGTTTCAAACCGGGTGGGGGATGCCCACCCCTGACTCCGGTGTTACGCTTGATAAAGAGACGATGAAGGGCCTCCGACAATGGGCACGGCTTGGGCTAAAATGCCATCATTATCTGTCGGAGGCCAAGCTCATTGAGGTCGGTTTGAGTTCGGGTAGGTTCCTTACTCAGGTTTGTCTTTTGTTTTGCTTTGTTCGTTCATTTTTTCCTGATGCCGAGCTCATTTTGCAGGTATGATGGACTTAGAGAGGACTCGCGGTGGGCACCTGTTTCACGGCATGAAGAAGAGAAAGCGAGTCGCCAAACGAACTCGTGCCGAGGTACCCCGAGACGCGGAGCCCGAAGTACCAAACTACCCGTCTGTGGATCCGCCTAGGGAGCCCGAGATGGCCCCTCTAGTCCATGAGGCGGCAGGGGCCCCTTATGCCGAAGCTACTTACACGGGGGCTCCTGCTTACTTTGAGTCCGCTTACACGTGAGCTGGGCCCTCAGGCTCGGGGGCCCAAGGCGAGTTCAGGAGCGTGTTGTCACCGAACCATGCTCTACAGAAGAGTAGGGAGGCCATCTATCCTGAGGAGGTCGCGGCATGGTCCGAGCTTCCTTTGAACCAGGTAGCTTGTCGTGCTGCYACTCATGCCATGGTGGTAAGTCAGATTTCTTGTCCGGCTCTTTGCTTTTATCCTTCTTGCTGCCATTCTTTTGATCATTTTGTTCTTCCCTTTTGGTAGGTGAATTCTTCAATCCATGCCTTGGCGGCCTAGGTGGAAAGGAGCTCGAGGCAGGCGCGAGCTGCCGAAGAGGCTTTCCGTGCTGTCGAGGAGGCTTCCCAAGCTGTTGAGGCGGCTGCTCACGCTGCACATGCCAGGCAGGCGAGGTCTCAGAGAGATGCTGAGGCCATGGGAGTTGTGGTGAAGCATATGGCGGACCTGAGGCTGGACTTCCAGCATCAGGTTGAATATCTTCAAGAGGATATTAGGGAGAGGACGCAGATTTTTTCTCAAGGCATTGAGGACGCTAAGAAGAAGGCCGTTGATGAGTACATCGCCTCGCCGCGCTTTGATGACCTGATGGTGGACTCGTACAGAAAGAGCTTTAAACTAAGCCAGTGGATGATCCGGAATACATACCCCGAGCTTGATATTAGTGCGATATCCACCTCGCGCATTACTCAGGAGATGGCCGACGCCGCTGATGGTGAGCCGGATTCCGAGGGCGAGGCAGGACCTTCGGGTGTTGTTGAAGTGCCTTCTGATGAAGAATAAGCACCTCCGGGCCTGTGGGCTCGATATTTTTTTTCGAAATATACACTCCCTTATTTTGAAATGGAATGACTTTCTTTTGGTTAAGTGTTGGTTGTTTTTTCTCCCGAACTGACTGTATTTGCCGAACTGACCATATGCCTGATTTGTTTCTTGTCCGGGTTACTGCACTCGCGCGGCCTGTTTTGGTGTTAATACTTAGTCTCTGAGATGCCGATGTCCCTATTAGTTCGTTGTCCCCACTTCGCCTGAGCCTTTGGTCTATACCTTTCTTTGCTTGCCTATGCCGAGGTTTCTTCGTTAGCTCGGCATCCTAGCCCTTAGGCTCTGGTAGCGATTTTGTCCACTTCGCTTGGTGGTTAT